AAACTCCAGAGATGTAGTTGGAGAATACTTGCAAGATATGTAGTTGGAGAATTCTCGAAAGAAATGGAGGTAGAGAAAGCTCGAGAGAGATTTAGTTGGAGAATACTTGGATATAATGTAGTTGGAAAAGATAAGAGAGAGATGTAGTTGGAGAAAACTCCAGAGATGTAGTTGGAGAATACTTGCAAGATATGTAGTTGGAGAATACTCGGATATAATGTAGTTGAAGAATACTCGAAAAAAATGTAGAAATGTAGTTAGAGAATAATTAAATGAAATGTAGCTGGAAAATACTTACAAGAAGTGGAGTTGGAGAATACTCGAGAGATGTAGTTGGAGAAAACTCAAGAAATGTAGTTGGAGAATACTTGCAAGAAATGTAGTTGGAGAATGATCGGATATAATGTAGTTGGAGAATACTCGGATATAATGTAGTTGAAGAATACTCGCAAGAAATGTAGTTGGAGAATACTCGAAAAAATGTAGTTGGAGCATACTCGAAAAAATGTAGTTGGAGAATACTTGCAAGAATTGTAGTTAGTAAATACTTGCCAGAAATCTATGTAGAGATTACTCGAAAAAAATGTAGTTAGAGAATACTAAAAAGAGTTAGAAAATACCCGAAGACGTTCTTTCCAGAGATCCCGACCGATGTATGGTGCGAACAGCTCAGATGGTATGAATATCTGGAAAGATGTGCAGTTGAAAGACTGTCAAAATGTGCAAAGCGTTGGAGTTCCGACTCAGAAAGATCCCGAATCCTGTGTCTTTGGTAGCAGGCGTCGGCCGAGACGCCCGAACACGCGTCCCACAACAGCCGGATGTTCGCTGCTGGGCGAGAATGTGAGCTGGGATAAGAACGAGGCGTTCCGGGTCATCTTTCGGCGCTCCACGGCGGAGAATTCCTAAGAGAAAGAAACTCCAGGTACGCGCAAACTGAGTTTCTACCTGCGGGCCCGTCTTCTGACAAAAATGATCCATCTTCAGAAGTGCGCCATCGCTAGGAGGTACTCGCCAAAATACATGCACTCGATGAGCAGCAACGCTTGTAGATGAGCCTCGCGGTGTCGGTCCACCCAATCACACCCCCACATTCCCATACAGCAGTCGCTGTCTTTGTTTTTCCCCAAGCTAAGCGCTCGGTGCTCTCTGCTCCCTTCATGCTGATACACCCACAGCTCCAAGACCATGTCACAAGACGGCTAGTTCAAAGCAGGACAAACAAAACCAGCCCAGAGAGCCCAATAGCCTGTTGCCCATCCAAGTTTACTAGCCAGCACCACTAAGCATTCACTGCTGTAGTCTTCAATACCTGCTCTTTCCCACCCGCTGATCGAGACTTTTACTTGGGCCATGCCCACGTGAACGCATCATTAACAAAGCCAGGCTGACCGTCTCCACAGCATTTACATGTTTTCTGACTTGAACACTACCTCTGGCTTGGCTGGAAACGTATGATGGCTTTTTTGTGTTTTCTCCTTCCTGGGGTCGGACGACACATCTTTGGATGGGTCATACTGGAGCATCGTGCGGAATTGAAGCGGAGGACCCGCTCTCCTCGCTCTCTTTGCAGCATCTTTGTCAGGCTGTCCAGTTTGTGGGAAAAATTGTAGTTGCGACGCAGGTGCTGAATTGATCTCCTGGGGGACTTGATAGCTGGTAGAAACTTGCAATGGAACATGTGCCATCATTGGAGGCGGTGCCGAGGCAGCATGTGGATGCATTGCCGTTTGCTCATCAAAATACAACTGCTTTAGCGGGTGCGGCATCTGGTTCATAGGGAGAGCCGGGTTTACGGGGGCATGGGGTGTACCACTCATGACAGGAGGACCGCCAAAGAAGGGACTTTGACCCGCAGATGGTGCGTAGGGAGGCTGGGGGAGACGGTAGCCATGCGCATCTGTTGACGCGGGAATTTGGGTAAACGAGCCCATCTGGCCAGCAGAATGGTGTCGATTGCCCTGGTTGAAAGGAATAATTGTTTGCAGCACGGTAGCTGAGACGGGTCTCTTCTCAAAGTTGAAACTGGACACGGACTTAGAGACAGGCATGGCAGGTCTGTTCGCGGCTCCGCCTGCCAGTTTTGCAAACTCGTAGTTCACATTATTCTCGTGCAACAACCCAGAGTTAAAGGTGGGCGTCGAGTGGGGACCCGGCGTGGTGGAAGTGGAAAAGCCCGTCTGAATGTAAAGGTTCCTCCTTGCGGGAGAAACTTTGAACGGAGACGACCTGACCGGAGAAGTCGCCAAGATAGTCTCTAGCTCGTCAATTTCATTATCCTGGGAACACCCAATCCCACCAGGTAAGTTGATGACCTCAACGGTTGTGTTTCCGGAACCAGACGCGCGGAATCGGTAGACAAAGAACCCATAAATTTTCTTTTCGGATTCTGTGTCATCACAGATTGTTTGCAGGACAATGAGGCTCTCAAGGTCGGAGGGGTCACTGCTTCCATTCACGACGAAGGTCAAAACCCCGGCCCAGAACGGACGAAGAAACGGCACGTCAAAGCGGAACGACTTGTTTTCCTGGCGGTATCCGTTGATGCTTTCCTGGCGAGTGAAAAGAGCCTGGCCGGCGCCCTTGTATACAGTTGTGGTGGACTTGAGTGTGGCGAAAGCGTCGGGGAATGAGTCTTCGCGTAGCGTCACGGCCAGGTACATCAGAAAGCTGCCGTTTTCTTCCGCGAACTGACGAGGGCAGTCCATGGGCGATACCAATCCACACAGACTGGGCGCTCCTGGGTCGAGGCGAAGGTCACAAGACACGTTCTGGACCACCACGCCTTGCTGCAGCAATTGCTGTGCAAGTTTGTCGAATTGTGCCAAGAAGTGGCCATTGGTCTGCGGGAGGCGTTTTCTGGCCTCCTCGACGGAGAGGGCGCTGTATGATGCCGAATCGTTTCCTGAAAGACTGGCAAACACATGGTGTTTCTGGTTCGGGTTGGTGTATTGGAACGACATGTTGAACGTGTCGAGAGCGGCGCCCACGGCTTCGGCCTGAGACGCTTTCTGCGGCAACGCAAGGTGAGGCAGGGGGCGCGGCTCTTGTTTGAGGGGCGTGCTTTCGGCCACCGGGTCCACGACTAATTTGGGGGCCGCAGACTTCAACAACTTCAAGAGCCTGCCCGAGACCTGTTTCGGCGTGCGGTGCACGGCGGTTTTTTTCTCGAGCATGCGGGACAAGACCTTGTTCTGCGACGAGCCCCTCAGCAGGGCCTCGCCGGGGGCCTGGGTCTGCTTGAATGCGCTGTACTTCTGGAAACAGCGCATCAACTCGTCATCCAAGGCCTTGGTCCACACTTTCTTCGGGTCTCTAAAAGCCGACAGCGGCGCTGGCGGCGCCGTGCGCGGGGGCAGCCCGAACGCGCTTGCTTTGTTGGCGATCTTCGTGCATGGCGAGTCGTGGGGGTCGGAAAGGACCCGTTTTCGGGTGTTTTCGGGCAGGCCCCCGCAGGCCCCGCGGGCCCCAGGCGTCCGCTGCCCCTGGGACAAGGAGAGCTCGCAGTCAAGCGGGCTCTTTTCGAGGAACATGTCGTGCGGCGAGAAGAAAACGTCCTTGTCGTCGGCGTTTTCGGAGATGGCAGTGAGGCTCATGGAGGCCGCGTGCGAGTCGCTGGCGAAGGACCAGATGTCCACGGAATCGGCGGTGCTGACCAGCTCGACCGTGGACTCGTGGTGGAAGTTCTGCGCGGGGTGGGGCTCGGTGAAGGGCGCCAAGATGGCGTCGTGAAACACCTCCGCCCCGCCGGCGGGGGCCGTGGCTCGCGACACGGGTCTGGACGGCGACGCGTGCTGCAGCGGCTGCGGCGCCAAGAACGCGGTGCGGCCCGTTTTTGTGGCGTCGTCGGCGGGGTTCTTACAAAGCCGGCTGAAGAGACGGTGCGGCGACAAAGAGCTTAGTAGGTTCATGTTTCGGGGCAGCACGAAGCGGAACGCGGACGGCAGCGCGCCCACGTTGCCAAACGTGAAGGACGGCGTCAAGCCGGCGGCGACTTTGCTGCTGTTTTTCGGGGTTTCGGGGTGCATTCTGGCGGCTGGGACTGGGCCGTGCCTGGTCTGGAAGGGCCCGGCGGCAAAAGGAGCAAACGGGCTGTTTTTTTCGTTCCGGAAAAACGGCCGTCAACAGCTGGCCTGGCTTTGTGACCCTGCTTACCGAGGAGCAGGTCGGCGGCTGTTTGTGTGGTTTTTGTGGGCCGCCCGGTGATGTTCGGTGCGGGCTGGAGATCTCGTACGATACTGGTTGTGGGTGCTGAGCCTGTGGGCAGACAAGGACGAAATGGCTGCGGAGACACAAGGCTGTTTGTGGCAGGCCTTGTTATACGGCGGGGCTCAGGGACGATGGCAGGGTCAAAAGACAAGCAGAGACTGGTCAAGGTGCAAAAGAAAATAAATCACAGCGGAGCACTCGGCCCTATTTTAGCAGATCGCTAGCAGGCACACAAGCGAAACGCGAAACTCGCAAATTGCGGAGAGCGCGATCCGATGCTACTGAAGGAGTGATTTGGGGGGCCGGGGCGCGGCCAAGATGCGCGGCGAAAAAAAGGCACCGTAGGAAGGGACCAGGACTCTAGGGCCAATGCCAGTAATACTGGCGGGGGGCCTCGTGGATGATGGGCGGCGGCTGGAATTCTTGGCGAGGTGTGGATTTGCGGTGTGGATTTGCGGTGTGGATTTTTGGACCGGTTTTTTTTAGGCTTGCAGACCGGGAATTGTCGCCCGCTATTTGCACCGGCAATAGTAGCAATTTGTATTTATACCTGTGAATTCTGTTCCTGCAAGTCCTGAGAGAGCGTGAGTCCGCGGACCCCTCCAGACATACCAGCCGAGCCATCTGCATTGGTTATTTTGTTTCTGCTAGGGGGTTCAGCATGTAGGCTTTTTTTGTTTTGTTTTTGTTACTGTTGTTTAGCTGGTAGTCGGCTGGCGAAGTTGTCCTGCTACGTGTTCTATTGGCGATGCCCTTTAGTTGTTGTATCTAGCCCATCATGATCTCTAGCTCTTTGGCTATATCAGCTAGCTTATTTAACTTTGTTATCTAGCTCATTTAATTGTTTTATCTAGCACATCTGGTTATATCATCTAGCTCATTTAATTGTTTTATCTAGCACATCTGGCTATATCATCTAGCTCATTTAATTGTTTTATCTAGCAC